CCACAATATTTGAATTGTTGTTGTTGTTGTTTTTCTCTGGCTGTTTGCAGGATTTTCTCCCTGACCTGATAATTCTGGAATTTGGCTATAACAATTCTTGGTGTTTTCAATTTGGGATCTCTTTTAGGAGGTGATTGGTGTATTCTTTTAATGATCAATTTACCCTCTGATTCTAGGGCCTCAGGGCAGTTTTCCTTGACAATCTCCTGAAAGATGCTATCCAAGTCTAATATAGTCAATTTTGATGATAGATGTGAATGGTCATTCAATCTTGTGCCAGTTTGAAGTGTGTTATGCGTCAAAGGTTGTCTTGACCACTAGAAGTTCTCATTGCCAGGTATCATAGTTGCATCTATTTCCCAAACTTTGTTTCCCTCAAATAGTGGGCTCAAGGTCTTGATAGGCTAGCCTGTGGGTCTTTCTATGAGAATAAAGCCCAAATTACTGCTTCAGAATAAACAATTTTAAATACCAGAAACTTGAATTTAACAGTTCAAGGTCAACAACAGCCTGGGGATCAAAATAGACAACATGGCAAATGAAAAGAGACTGCTTGTACTATATCTGGCCTACCTTTGCCCTACAACCCTGCTGTATGTACAGTAAACTAACAACCCTATTGTATGTGCAGTGAATTTGTTACTGCAAGAGGTAGTCAGAGGTCTCTATCAATAACAAGACACCAGATTCTTACTGTCTTTTATGTTTAATACTTCTTTTGTGAGCAGAACTAAATTGCCTAGCCTATTCTTGATTCATATTGTACATTGAAAACCTTTTTACTTCCTCTTTTTGGGGAAACTGTGAACATTAGCAGTTACCTAACAAATAAGTAAATTTTTCCCTAGGATGCCATGGAGTTGGTTCAATGAACCAAAGAGTATGAGAAAAAAGGAGCTAAATCCCTCTCATTAGAGTCCAGGCTCACCCACATACAACTGTATGCCTGGGCCCAGAGCAGAGGGTATCTCTAGGGGAAAGGGGAGTTATATATACCCCACTCCTTATAGGGCCAGCAGCAACTCTTCATTGTTAGATTTATGTAGATAGTTATTATCTCTCCTGAAATATTGTAAACTCCTTGAGGGGAAGGGAATTTTGTATTTTTGTGTACCTAGTTTGTTGCACAGTATCTGGTATATAATAAACCACTGGTAATCAATAAGAATTAAGTATATATTATGCATCAGGCACTATGTTTAGCACTGGGGACAGAAAGGAAACAGGGTAAATTACAGGGACTCTCTGGGCCAATCCTTTTTTTTAATTTTGAAAAAAAATCAGGCAGTGCTACCCATAGTTAAATGTGCTATGAAGGATTTAGTGGTAACCCTCTTCTTTAGTTCATGTTGTGACAATTAAGCAATAGCTGGCTAGCAGAATGCTACAGAGGCCTTTAACAAATCTGTCAATTGGACTTTCAGGGTCTGGTAATTTTTGATGAACCTCTTCAGGTAGGTTCATAAACCTCAGAAATCATTGCAGGCTGTTTATCATATTGGGAGCCTCATCTCAACTCTAATAGGACTATTTCCACTTTAAAGGAATTTAATCTGACTTTCTGCAAACCCAAGAGAAATTCAATTTCCTCTCTGATGAACTGATATTTCTCTAATCAGGTAAAAGCAATATTCCCAAAGATGGGTCAGAATTGCATGTACTGAGATAGTATGGTTTTTGATACTTTTTGAGTAGATTAAAGGCAAGTAGGACAATTTGGCTAGAACATAGAGTATGTGAAAATGGTAATGTACAATAGCCTATAAACTTACAGGGAAAAAGTCTGTTAAATATCCAAGCAGAATGCTCGACCCTAGCAGTAATAGGAAGGCACTGGAATTTATCAACTACAGGAGTGATATGATCAGACCTGTGTTTTAATAATATCGATTTGGCAGGTGTGTGGAAGATGGAATGGAGAGGGAACAATGGGAAACAGAGAGATCAATTGAGAAATTATTGCAATAATTTAAGTGAGAAGTGATGAGAACCTGAACTAGGATAGAGACTATAAGAATATTCACAAAGGGATGGATGTAAGAGAAGTTGTGGAGGTAGGATCAATAGGACTTGGCAACTTATTAGAAATGGGGAGATGAGAAAGAATGAACACTTGAAGATGACTCTTAGATTGTGAACCTGGCTGACTGAAAGGATGATAGAAAGCCCCCCAAAATAAGAAATTTTGGAGAAGGGATAAGATTTTGAGGGGAAAAATTAGTTTCATTTGAGAAATGCTTTTCCCCCCAAAAACAGAGTAGATTACACATTCCACAGAGGTATATTTTAGAGAAAAGAGTGGCCCACTTCAATAACCTAGGACCTTATCTATGAGGAAAAGTGGGTGCTAGTTTCTTTAAAAGAAACAAAATCCTTCTCATTAAAGGCAAAGTTTGTCTATGTCCAACTTTATGCCTGAGCCCAGAGTAGACAATTTATTTAGGGGGAAAGGGAGCAGAATAATATCCCATTGCCTGTAAGGCCAGCAACAACTCTTCAATATTAGATTTATATGGGTACTTGTCTCTCCTGATTATATGGAAACTCCTTGAGGGGAAAGACTATTTCATTTTGGGTTTTGTGTATGGAGTTTATAGCACAGTGTCTGGCACATAGTAAGCAAGTAAGTCAGTCAACAAGAATTAATTATTATGTGATGATATTTAAAGCCTGGAATTCCTGGTAAGGTATGGGTATTCAAATAATTGCAGTGCCTAGATGGCAGAGGTAAATGGGCATATGAACCACTTTTTGATGTTGGTATACAAGACTTCTCACAAGGTTCAGGGTTCAGGCCCTGAGAACAAAGTTTTGATTCCTAGGAATGGGAATGTCTGGAATTAGAATAATTATGCAACATGTGGATGGTGCTGCAGGTGCTAAGAGCAGCTAGATAGTTAAGTGGATAGAGTTCTGGGCCTGCAGTCAGGAAGATCTGAGTTCAAATACAACCTTAGACACTTAGTAACTGTGTGACCCTGGGTAAGTCATTTAATCTCTGTTTGCCTTAATTCATTGGAGAAGAAAATAACAAACCACTCCAGTATTGTTGCCAAGAAAATTCCATGGGCAGTCCATGGGGATCACAAACAGTTGGACTGAAAAACTAAGCAACAGGTTGTTATTGCTAAAATAACTCATTCATTTGTCCTTTCTTCAATCTTTCAACCTTGCCTAATGCTTCTTCTGACAGAGAAGCCATTGTTGAGATTCATTTGCAGATGTGATATGCCAATATTCTCAGCAAAATGTCAGATTAAGACTTTGTTTGTTTTGCTATATTTTAACCCTTGGAAACAGCTCTCATTTCTGGAACTCTCTAAGGTTTACTATGCATCTTTTTAGCCACAATTTTTTGTGGCTAAAAGTTTTTTTGTGGCTAAGTTGGTAGGGCAAATAATATCACTTGTGTTACAAATGAGAGAATAGATGCCCAAAGAACTTGAATTGCTTTTCCATGATCAGGTAATAAACATCAGAGCTGAGATATAAACCCACGTCCCTTAATTCAACAGCCATTACTCTTTCCTTTTTATCCTGCTATCATCCTTTCCTGCTTTTCATAGGGTGAGGTGCCTGTGATTGGGGAAAAGCCCTCATGGACTTTACCTCAAAGGACTCTCTCCTAAAGCCAGAGCTCTGCTCCAGTTGACCAGCTTCCATATTTTCTGAATTTTGTTTCCTTTCTAAGGTGGAGGGGAGCAAAGGATATGAAAAATAATGCCTCTGAAGTTGCTTTTCTTCTAGAGATCTTTATTAATGTTGTAAGAGCATTAGTCCCTCAGAAAGATTATCATTTAATAAGAGAGATGAGAGATCTATGATTATATACATTAAGATACCATCCAGATAAATCTGAAAATATAGAGAAAACTCACTACAGCCTATCACAGCAAGTTATCATAGGACCACAGATTTAAAACTGAAAGAAGGCCAGAGATTTTTTAATCCAATGCCTTCATTTTACAGATGATGAAACTGAGGACCAGGGAGCCAGGGTGATTTGCCCAACATCTCATGGGTAGTAAGAGTCAAGGGCAGGATTTGAACATGTATCATTTTGATGCCAGTGCAGGGACCCTTTCCATAGTATCATATTACCTCACTGCATAAATGCTTTGTATAAGTTGGAGAATTGGAATTATGAACAGTATTAGTCTGAAAAAGTAGAGAACTGAGGCCACTTTTAAAGGAGGAATGGGCCATGACTTGGTGAAAAGATCGCTATCTGGTAGCCTAAGGGTAGGGAACGAACTAGGTGATGTGTTGCTCCATGGAAGGAGTAGATGAAAGTTGATCAGAGAATGATGGATAGTTTTGTGTGACTCAAGCAGAGAGTAAAGTCTGAATTATAATGAGAGATGAAGGCAGCTTGTTAAGCATGTATATAACCTTAGGCAAGTCACCCTACCTTTCTGAACCTTTGTTTTCTCATTTGAAAAAGAAGGTATTGGACTAGATAACTTCTAATGCCATTTCTAGCTCTAAAATGATACCTTCTGAATTTGAAAAAAAGGCAATGGGAGAAGCAAAAGCTATAGACTGGCAAAAAGGCTTTTTCCAAGGAAAAATCCAAGTTATGGTCGCATCTATAACCATGAGGAAGGGATGGGGCCAGGAAAAATTTGACAAACTTTACATTCACTGTCTTATCCTTCCATTTTTAAGACAAAAACACATTGTATGTCCATTATCCTTTCTTCACAGAATGCATTTCCCAATGCACCTCCTTTTTCCTGAGACTACAATTCCAAATAAGGTTCACTTAGAGTTCTAATAACTATATTCATTCCCCAGCACAATTTTACAAAATTCTATATAACTATAAATTTCTTCCTGGTTGTGCTGTTAATGTTTTGACATAGGTGTTCTGTTTCCCCAATTATACAAGGAGCAGCTTGGTACTCTCTCTATTTCTGTTAGTACAAAGTTCTCTGCGTAATGGGTGCTCTTTTTATTATACAACTCACTGACTAAATCTATATTTCTTATTTTTCAAGCCCAATGAAGAAAGATAACTATTCAGAGGTGAGTGAGTTTATTTTTCAAGGGTTCTCCAGCTTTCAGGAGCACCAAATTACACTTTTCCTGGTGTTCCTTGCTCTGTACCTTAACCTTTGCAAGCAATGCCATTCTTGTGACCATCATCAGCATGGACCATCACCTCCATGTTCCAATGTACTTCTTCCTAAGTATGCTTTCCATTTCTGAGACCTTGTATACATTGGTAATTGTCCCAGGAATGCTGACTAGTCTCATTGTTCTGAACCAGCCCATCTCTTTAGCAGGTTGTGCTACTCAAATGCTTTTCTTTATCAACTCAGCTATCAACAATTGCTTCCTGCTCACAGCAATGGGATATGATCGTTATGTGGTCATTTGCAACCGTCTTTACTACATAGTAATCTTGGACGAGATGTTGTATACCAAGCTAATATGTAGTACATGTGGTATTGGTCTGACTGTTGCAACAGTTCAGATTGCATCTCTGTTCAAGCTGTCCTTCTGTGAAGCAAAAATACCCTATTATTTCTGTGATATCCTCCCAGTAATGAAACTTTCCTGTGTTGACACCTCTATCCACAATATCATCAATTTTATTGTTTGTTCACTAGCGATTGTGATGCCCATGAGTTGGTGCCCATGGTTCTTCTCTTATATTCTCATCATCTCCACCATCCTAAAGATTGCATTTGCTGAGGGGCATCAGAAGGCCTTTGCTACATGTGCTTCTCATATCACTGTGGTCATTGTCCGTTGCGCATGTGCTTCTATTGCCTACCTCAAACCCTAGTCACAAAACAGCAGGGACCAGTATCAAATGACCTCAGTGACTTTTCTCTCCACTGCAGAACCCTGTTGGATACACTCTGAGGAATAAGGAGGTCAAAGATGCCCTGCACCAGACTGTGGGAAAGAAATCCCTATCCTAAGATTTCTTTGAGTTTGGCATAAGGTCAAAAGACAGTCTACTTGCTACAAGCTAGAGAATATCTTTTCTGACTGGCCCACTGCACTACAGCATGAACTTAAGCCATGTCAATAGTGGGGCAAGACCAATAATGGCTACTACCTGAGAATAATGATTCTGAAAAGGTGTAGTAGAAAGAAGAGAAGACTAGGAGTCAGAGAACATGAGTCTGAATCTTGGATTAAATATTTACTTGCTCTGTGATTATGGACAAGTCATTTAGCATCTAAACATCAATTCCCTAATAGATAAAATGGAGTAATAATGCTTGCATTGTTTACCTTATCGGGTTGTTATGATGAAAGCATTTTGTAAACATTAAAGTGATATAATTGATTTCTTCTTATTATCAATAATAATAATAATAATAACAACAACAATAACAATATTTACCTGCATTATATAATATTTTTATCCAGGGAGAACATACTAAGGCTTTTTTATGGGCTTGGTATTAGAGAGTCAACACACTCCTGAATCTTTGGTCTGATATTTTGTGTCCCATGGCACTTGCTGTCATGTGATTGTTCAAGGCTTGTTCGTCACTTCCTACAAACTGTGAGATTGAGAGTATCCTTATTTGGTGGATTGATTATCATAAACTTAATACAAGCAACCAGATAAGTATTCAGCATATATATGCCCAGACAGGTGAGAGGAGGAGATGGAAGGGCCTTAATACAGAACAAATAAGAGATACAGCAACATGGTGATGAGTAAGACATAATCTAGAAAGCCTAACATAAGATTTGATACCTATGAGGGAATCGTTAAGATTAGAAGTTACTAGACTGAAATTTCCTTGAGGAAGGGATGATGTCCTAAACTTAATTTTAAACTTTAATTTTAATTTTGATCCTTCCTTGGTAGCTTGCTCAGTGATTTGTAAAAAAAATAAAAAATTTTGGGCAGCTAGGTGTTGTAGCAGATAGAGCACCAGCCCTGAAGTCAGGAGGGCCTGAGTTCAAATATGGCCTCAGACCAAACACTTGACACTTACTAGCTGTGTGACCCTGGGCAAGTCACTTAACCCTAATTGCCTAAAAAAAGAAATAAATAAAAAATTAAAAAATAAATAGGACATGGGTTTGAATTGAGAAAAGAAAACTAGCTTCTCAAGACCTTGTGAAATACACACACACACATGCACACACACACACACACACACACACACACATACACATATATACATACCTCCAGGTCTGAAAGATAAAAGGCTTAGAATAAGTCAGGTTGTAAGACTGGTAGAACTATTTTTTCTTCTTTAAAAACATGTTTTTAGACCTGGAAGTCAACCAGTGGAAGGAGGAGGGAGTGGGAGGGAAAGAGACAGAGGGAAAGAAAGAGAGGAAGAGAGAAGGAGGGAGAAGAAATGAGGGAGAGGATGGAAGGAGGGAGTAGGAGAGGGAAGGAGAGGGAAAGAGGGAGAGAGACACACAGAGAAGGAAAAACACTATGCTTTTCAGTGCTTATTCTTACTTTTTTTCTGTTTTGTTTTGTTTTTTGTTTTTTTTTTGGCTAGGCAATGGGGTTAAGTGACTTGCCCAGGGTCACACAGCTAGTAAGTGTTAATGTGTCTGAGGCCGGATTTGAACTCAGGTCCTTCTGAATCCAGGGCCGGTGCTCTATCCACTGTGCCACCTAGTTGCTCCCTTATTCTTACTTTGAATGGGAAACTTTTTGTGAGAGTTGGCATAACTTCAGCATAAAGAAGGCCTAAATACCAGCGCCACCTCTGATATACATTGGTTATTTGACCTTTGGGAAATCCCTTGATTTCTTAGGGCACTATGCATTAGTTTCTAAGTTTCATGCCTATGTAAGACCATGAGTCAGAGCAAGTGGGACTCTACATGGGTAAAGGAAGTTTTCTGATGCAGAGTTCTCTAGACCAAAGAAATGACAGATCTAATGCAAAACAACAACAGCAAAAAAAAGAGCAAGAACTGGAAAAAAGTTACTAGGCTGTTGTTTTTCACCATTCTATGAAGAAGAGGCAACAAGGAGAGGCCCTCCCAAAAACTGTGCTGGAAGAAACTAGGTTGGAAAATTTTCCAGTTTGGTCACCAGTCTAGCTAAGAAAAGGCACATCACCAGTAGGCTGACCACATAGTGATGAAACTTCATTGACCGTAGCAACCTGTGAAACAAAGAAAAATTTTAAATAGCTCTCAGTCTTGTTCAGCCCCCTTTAACTTCGGCAGTGATGGTAACAGAGTGATGGGGGAAAGGGAAGAGAATGTTAAGAACTACAAGATTTTTAAACTGTCAACAGACTTCAATTGGACTTGGTTTTCTATATATTAAATCCTTATCTAATGAATAATGTAGTGGACAGAATGCTAGAGAGTCTGAATTATATCAGTCTTGACATTTTGGCTAGAAATATAAATATCTTGTCATCATGTATTTCTGTATTAATAATAAGTACTTACAAAAAGACCACCATGATGGAGATATGAACTGATTCAACCATTCTATAGAGCAACTTACCTTTTGACTCAACAAATTAGGTCTATATCCCAAAGAAACACAAAAAGGAAAAAGAACCTATATGTACAAAAACATTTATAGCAGCTCTTTTCTGGTGGCAAAGAATGGGAAATTGAGGGGATACTCATCAACTGAGGAATGGCTGAACAAGTTGTGAATGTGATTGTGATAGAATACTATTGTGCCATAAAAAATGATAAATAGGATGCTCTCAGAAAAAACCTGAAAAGACTTCCATGTACTGATGGAAAGTGAAATGAGCAGAACCAGGAGAACATTGTACATAGTAACGGCAATATTGTATGATGATCAACTGTTAATGATTTAGCTATTTTCATCAGTACAATGATTCAAGACAACTCTGAAGAACTTACGATAAAAAATGCTATCCATCCCCAAAGAAAGAACTGATGGAGTCTGAATACAGATCAAAGCATACTTTTTTTTAAATTTTATTTTCCTTGGTTTTTTTTGGGGTGGGGTGGAAGGTCTATGTTTTCTTTCACAAGATGACTATTATGCAAATAAGTTTTGAGTGACTACACAAATGTAACCTATATCAAATTGCTTGCGTTACTAATGAGAGAGAGAGGGAAAGGAGAGAATTTAGAACTCAAATTTTTTTTAAAAATTAACATTAATATTGTTTTATATTTAATTAGGGAAAAATAAAATAATAAATAAATATTTTAAAAAGACCACCATGAAAACAGTTGTAGCTTATGCACCAACATTTACCGAAGACAAAGTGGTAGAGAAATTTTGTGAAGGACTTAATAAGACTCTCTAAATCAAATGAACATACACTCTGATACTTGGTGACATCAAGAAAATGTGGGGGAAAGTGAGGATTGGAAAAAATATATCATAAAGTATGGTTCAAGAGAAAGAAATGAGACAGTCCAAAAACTTTCTAGATTATATAGAAGCCTCATACTTCTAAATTATGAACACTATTTAAAAAAAAAGTCCTGGTAAGTGCTTGAGAGAGTACCAAATAATACCACAACATAAAGTATGAAATTGACTGCATTTTAACAGACAGGAAAAGACATATTAAAGATGTGGGAGTTGTTCCTGAGTCAACACATAGTAAGATCCATCACAGCTAAGATTATAATTTATACTAAATAAGAAAAAAGAGTAGTAATGACAAAAATATGGAGTATAATTAAGCTATCTTGAACCATTTAAATAAGCTGTTGAAAATTTAAAATCAGGAAATAAACAACAAAAATGTCATAGGGAACAATTATAATAATTTCATCCAGTAATTAAACAAAGGTATATTAATTATTACAACAAGGAAACCAAAAGAGCCCAGAAAATGTCTTAATATGGAAACATTTGGCTCACTTGTCAAACAGAGAGAGACGGCTGCCAATGGTAACAGCAGTTTAGAACATAAATTTGCCTGTAACAATCTATTTAAAGAGAATGGACAATGATGAGTAGTACCATCTCATAAAACAGAAAGAAGCTGTAGTGGGCAAAATCTATCTAAACATTGGCAAGATAGTCAATTAAGCAGTCACTCTAAAGGCATTCAAGGATGAAAACAGAGAAGATTACAAATTAAATGGTAGCCCCTTGGTCTCACTCTTTTAGCTGGAACTAGGCTGTATAGGTTCCCAGAGATCAGTGACTTCTTCTCCCCTCAGTGTTCTATCATTGGGTAACTCTGAGACACTGTGGCTCATGAGCCCCCATCCAGTGCACTCCCCAATATTTTTTCTTCTTTTATAGTATTTTGTTTTTTTTCCAATTATATGTCAAGAAAAATTTTAGCATTCATTTTTGCAAGATTTTGAGTTGCAAATTTTTTCTCCCTCCCTTCCTTCCTCCTCTCCCCTCTTCTGAAAATGGTAGGCAATTTGATATAGGTTATATACATGCAATTATGTAAAACATATTTTCATATTAGTCATAGTAGTGAAAGAAGAAACGAATCAAAAGGAAAAAAACACAAAAAAATATAAAATGAGTGAAAAAAGTATGCTTTTGGGGCAGCTAGGTGGTGCAGTGGATAGAGCAC